GGTTTAACTTACAAATAGAAGTTTGTTGATTTTTCAAGGTGTGTAATTTTCTTTCGAAGAATTTCAGGGGTTTGTTTTTATGAGCTGGATGTTTAGTTTCCAAGTGTCAAACTAATTTTGATGGCTTCATGCTTTCATCTGAGAGAACTTGAGAGCAAACAACCATTGTGGCTTTCCATCCAATGAGGTGAAACTATAATTTAAATAACTGTCATTGTACAACCTTGTCTTTTTACCAACCAATTTACTGGATGTAGATAGCTCACTTTCTTTTTTTACAAATTTATCCATTTCACATTAGAAATTAAAAAAAAACAATTCAGTTTCAAGGTTGACCGCACACTAAAATAAAAGCACCTGATGCACGCTTCACATTTGAAACTTAACTGAAGTGGTGCGACTGCCAGCACCTCTTTTATACTAGTGACAACACGACTTGTTCAAATGCATCCATATGCATGTTCAAACATGCTCTCACAGTGAGTATTATAGGAGGAGATTAAATTACAAAGAGCATATACACATCAAGTTGAAACTTGTAAATTGCTCATGTATGTACACGTCATACATGCAGTTCATACCCCTCACTATAAATGTAGTGACATAAAATAATAGGAATAGTTGTATTACATTTTTTATACTGTTTATAAAATTAGTGCAACATGATTATATAATATTTTAATAAATTTACATTTATAATTACAGTCAAAATTCAAATTAGTAATAGTAAAGCTTACTGTTATTATTCCTTTGGGTGGGTGTGGGTCACGAAATTTTAATTTTATTTATATTTACTATTTGGGGGGGTCACAGAGCTAAGAAAGTTGAGAATTGCTGTCTTAGAGGTATGAAGGAGTACATGTCAGAAGTTGCAATTTAGCACAGAGTATTTGGTGCTCAAATCATGCACACATAAAGTAAACCAGACTTGTAGGTAGTCAGGGGACCAACAACTGGGTCAAAAATAAAATACAAAATGTTGAGACTGTTTCTACAAACAGGCACAAGTGTGAGATTTGTGCATGCATTGCTTGCACTCTCCAAGACCATAGTCTCATTTGCCGTTTTACTTGTTTTGATAATTCTATATTCACCTGACAGTCATGTGATAGCCTGTAGTATGTCATGTAACATGATAACTGATTGACTAATAATATGCCAAAATTTAAAAAAATGGGGTATTATTTTATAAATACTCTATTTTTTTAAATCATTATATCTCTAAAACTGGGTTTGTATAAATACACCATGCACAAAACCAACACCAGCACTGTAAAAAGAAAAATTTGATTTGTTAGCCGTTTTGTTCTATATCATTTGTACCTGATGATGTATATTTCATATATATGAAAACATTAGTAAATTTTTCTTTTCACAGTGCTGGTGTTGATTTTGTGCATGGTGTATTTTTAAATCATTGTGTTTATATTAATTATTTGATTATTTGAATTGATAACATTTGATTTATTGATCAAAAGTAATCAAAGACATGAAGTCATGTGATAATTATCTGATATCACATGTAATTGCATATGAAAATAATTTTATTTTCACATGCAATTACACAATAGTCTTTACTATGTCTTATCACATGATGCATGGTTTGTTCAAAAAGTTCCAGAACCTATTTTTTCTCCATTGTTTGGAGTATCTACCATGTAATTGTCCTTGTCTCCTTCAAAGTACTCTCCTTATTAATCAATACACTGCTTCCAGCAGTGTTGCCATTTCTGTAAGCACTACCTGTTAAGCATTTTTCAGAATCACTTGTGGAAGAAAAATTCAGAATGCTTCTGCAAATTTTTTGATGTCTTCAATTGTCTGAAATCTACATCCTTTCAAAGTGGATTTCAGCATATAAAATAGGAAAAAGTCTACAGGAGCAAGGTCAAGTGAGTAGGGTGGATGGAAAAGTGGAGGTTTCCTGTTTTAGCTAAGAAATCACAAATTAGCAGAGACGAATGTGTTGGCACATTATCATGATGCAGGATCCACAAGTTTTTTCCAGAGTTCAGGCCTGTTTTTTCTGGCACTTTTTCATTGGTATTTTAGTACTTCCAGATAATAGTTTTGATTCATCATTTGTCTGTTCGGTAAGAATGATGCACATTACCTTTGATGTCAAAATAAAAACATCAACATGATTTTCACCTTTGACCTAACCTGTTGCACTGTTTTCAACGTTGGCAACATTTTCTCAACTCATTGTAATGACTGCCTTTTCATTTCTACATTGTATCCATATACCCAAGTTTCATCACTGATAATGATTCTTTTCATGAAGGTTCCATCCTTATTGGCAGAATCCAAAAGATTTTGACAGATGACAACCTGAGTGTCTCTCTGATTTTGTGTCAGGAGTCATGGCACTGACATTATGCACTTGCAATGTTTTCTTGAGAATGCTATGGCATGATCATATTGAGATGTTACACTCTTTGGCAATTTTCTGAACTGTCAAATGATGATTAGAATGCATGACTTCACAAACTTATGCAATATATTGTCAGATGATGTAGATGGTCATCCTTCCCATAGGTCATCATCTGCTAACTGCCAACCATCCTTAAATCTCTTGAACCACTCATAACATTGCATATGAGTAAGACACTTATCACTGTAAATCTGCTTTAACACTTCATGGGTCTCTGTAAACATTTTCTTAAGTTTACAGCAAAATTTGATGCTGATCAACTGCTCTTGCAAATCACAGACCATCCTCTACATGCATGTAAATAAAAATCCATAGCACAGAAACTGATTGCAGCAGAATAAGATGGTGACTGGCAGGTTATGAAGGAAGATCACTGCTACCAAATGCACATGACCATATATTGTTGCCAAATTGCATTGGCATGCTATTTGAAGTGTTCCAGAACTTTTTGAACAGACCATGTATGTTAAAATTTTAAAAATAAACTATTATTTTATAAATAATATTTTTAAATAAAACCTTCAAAAAGCAAACAGGTGGTGGTCAGCTCTCAAACAATCTATTAAACATATGCAGACTTCTAGATTTTTCAGTAGCTTGATGTGTCTATTCTTTCCTGTTGTAAATCTAGGGTGACAAAATCCAGTTGCATAAGTCCAAATGATCCAACAAATTTATTCAAAATTTATAGTACTCTAACACTACATCAACTGCTGTATAACATTGGGCTATTTATTGGCGAAAATAATTATAAATTAATAAATTTGACCCTAGAGGGAGGTGTTAGGTACCATCTCATATTAAATTTAATAATTATAATTCAATTAAATAATTTTAGATTAAACTAGAAGAAAAGAATAGGTCTGGAACAGGATTCAAATCCACAACTCCTGCTTACTGTGTGAATGCATTGCCAATTACGCTATCCTCCTCTTCCAGTATATTTAACATTATTGTTATAACAATGGTTATATTTATATCGATGGTATAAATTTTGATCTTAGATGGCACTTAACACCTCTCTTCAGGGTCAAATTTACTACTAATTTATAGTTGTTATTGCCAATAAATAGTCCAATGTCATACTGCTGTTATTGCAATGTATCAGGTTTATGTTTATCCATAGTATTCATCATGGACAATAAATATTTTAAATTTTATCTAGATCAGTGCTTTGATCATAGAAATATTAAGGGCCAGAGTTGGCACTTCAACATTATGTGTTGGCACTTCAACATTAGCTTTACTACAGAATGCAGTAGCATTATATGATCTTTCTGTCAACTAAATAAATTAGTTCTTTATTATTTATTTTCTAATAACTTTTATAAGTAAAAAATATATTTCTTTGGTTAATGCCTTGGATGAATATTATTATTTTTCACAATTTATTCTAAGAAATACAGTATATTATAAAAATTGAGATATCTGATTATCATCATTTAGTGAAATTTTTATACAGTTGTTTAAGTATGAGATTTTTTTTCAAAATTATCAATAAAATGGTGTATGACAGTGTAAATAATAATGAAATCTTGGTTTGTCTTTTTAGAGAGTTTTATATATTAACTTAAATAATATTCAGAATTATACAAATAGCTTTGTATTCTTATCATTATGATATGTTTCAGCTATAAACTGTTGTAGCTTTAAATAAATTTATTTAAAAATAAAAGCTGATCAAATTATTATACAGTGTTACACACAATTTATTACATTAAGTCAGATAAATTATTATTTTATCATAAATAAATATAAATGAAAGGAAAGAACTTTAAAAACTGCATTTACATAGGCTGGTTTTTCTCAAGCTCCAGTGGTCCATAAAACAAAGACAAGTGTAAATAACAAAATGAATTTATTACCAAAAGTTAGGTACAAACATGGTTACTTTTCGACATAATCACTGTGAAGATTGAGGAATTTGTTATATCTGTGAACGAGCTTTTCCATCCCCTTGTCATAGAATGTTGCTGCCAGTGAGTTGAGATAGCCTGAACAATGTTGTTTTGAAGATTGTCATTAGTCTCAAACCTCTGTCCTGCTAGCCATGTTTTCAGTTCAGGAAAGAGGTGGAAGTCTTCACACATTAAAATATTTTAAGCTGGGTGGAAGTCTTCACCACCTTTAAACATCCAGTGTATAACCCCAATATAGTGCCAAGTGACTTCCACCTCTTTCCTGAACAGGAAAAATGGCTAGCAGGATAGAGGTTTGAAGCTAATGGCAATCTTCAAAAAAACGTTAGGGCCTATCTCAAGTTATTGGCGGCAGCATTCTATGACAAAGGGATAGAAAAGCTTGTTCACAGATATGATAAATGCTTCAATCTTCACAGTGATTATGTTGAAAAGTCACCATGTTTGTACCTAACTCTTGTAATAAATTTATTTTGTTATTTACACTTGTCTTTGTTTTATGGACCATCAGAGCTTGAAAAAAAACAGCCTATGTATTTTGTTTTTATGTATAAATAATGCAAATAAATGATAATCTGATTTGAGTAGCTGTTAAAAGTATTACATAATTTAATTTGTGGTAATTATTATAAATTATTTTTACATAGTATTTCTGTTCTGCTAAATGTTTCAAGGAATCTAATTATGTAAAAGAACAATTATCCACAACACCATTATGGCTATTAAAGGAGGAAGACAAAGTCAATATAGTTTTATTTCAAGATGTAAAAGTAAGCTAATTTATATAAACAAATATTTAAAAATTTTTATTCTTTAAACTCTACAATACTTTTTTTTTTATTTTTTTTACTCAAGTAATAATTTATTGGAATATGTTTTTATCAAATATATAAAATTGAAAAAATAAAAATAAATAATAAATTGTTACAGCATAAATTAATATTTTTGAGAAATTTGTTTGTAAAACTTAAGCATTGAAAGATTTAGTTTTAGAAACAATATTTAATATTACGTATTCGTAAAATGTTTTAGGCTTTTTTAATTTCAATTTTTTTAACATGTAAACATTTGTTGTTGAAATTTTTACATTTCATTTCAAAATTGTAAGTAAATTTATTTTTAAAATAATGTTAACATGTAGGTAAAAATTATGGTTTACAGTCGACCCCCCTATAACGCGATAGATACGTTCCACTTTATAAGAATTTTGCATTGTAGTAATCCTTAAATACATGAGCCAATCACAGCTCGGCACGTGTGCAGTTTACGGACTACGGCTGTTTGGAAGGTTTTCTTCCATAAAATTAATCGATTCTAGACTAATTTGACTCAACATTTCCAAAGCATGTATAACTTTTTGGAAATAATCCGTATAAACTATGCTATAAACAAAAAATTGTAGGATTACTTACCGAGTGTGCACCGTTTGACGTTGCCATTGCTTAAGCTTATTTTCGTTGCGGAGCAGCACACCAAATGGTGGGCGCGTTTTCTAATAAGTTATTTTTCTGCGAAAAATTTGTTGAACTTTGGAGACATCATTAATAGAAATAATTTTTATGGCTGTTGAATAAGAAATGTTTTTTCACAAGAAATGTATAAAATTACAGTATTGTACTAGACTTACAGTACCTAATTTAGGCCTATATACTATGTACAGACGATAGTAAACTCAACTTACCCGCCTAAACTCTCCATAGTGTGTAAGTACTTCGGCTGCTCGTCCACTATTGATCCAGATTCGACCAATCCTGTCATGACACGAGTTGGCGATGACGTTTTACCGCATTTTAAAAGTCTCTTTTAGCATCTTTATACGAATACAGTTGCAATTTTTTCATCAAAATATATGAATTCGCATTATATGAACCTGCGTTATAGGGGGGTCGACTGTATTTTCATTTCTTTTTTATTTTAGTTTTAATCTAATATCAATGAATAAGTATTAGTAAATAACTAGAAATCATAATGCTTTCTATTGTAAACAATAGCTAGATACAGTGGAACCTCGCTTAACGAGCACCTCGCATAACGAGCAAAACAAATTGTAAAAAATTGACTCGCTTAACGAACAACGTTTCACATAATGAGTAACAGGAAGAGGGGTAGTCTGGATTGTGCTCATACTCCATCAGTCTGTGTTTAGCACTTGTTTTGCTAGCATCTTAGTATCGCTTGTGATCAAACATTTTTCCAAACTTGTTTATATATAATGTATAAACATCAACAACCATCGCCTGTTATATAAAAACATGCCAAACAATATGCTAAAATCTTGGGCTATGTAAAGGTCTTTATTAAATATTAGAAATTAATTAATTTGACTAGGGGTAGGTAGTTATGCTGCCATCTCGTATTAAATTTAATGACCAATTCCAAATTAAATTTCAAAAACGTCTAAATTAAAAATTAATAATTTATAATTATTAAATTTAATATGAGATGCAGCATAACTGCCTACCTCTAGTCAAATTATTTAATTTCTAATATTTAATTATAATTTAATTATAGCCTTTACAAAGCCCAAGAATTTGGTATATTGTTTGGTGTGTTTATCAGACATTATCTGTGATTTTTTTTTTCCTGCAAATTGAATTCACATTCCAGGTTGGTTCATTCTGCGCTAGAAGAAAAGATGATTCATGCTCCTTAACAATGTATATTGTGTAATTTTCTTTGAATAAACATTACACACAAAATATTTTGAGTATTTTTTCCTGCATGGACTGCATTATTGTATTTTACATTAATTTATATGGGAAAAATTGTTTTGCTTAATGAGTGTTAAGCAAAGTTCCACTGTAGTTTATAGTACTTTATGTAATACTAAAAAATTGCATTAAAATTAACTTTAATTATCATTAAAAGCTAATTTGACAGAAAATTCTATCAAATTAATTACCGTATTTACTCACATATAAGACGAAGTTTTTATTCATTTTTCACTGTTTCAAAAACCTAGGTCGTCCTATACACACAAGTGAAGGATTCTTTGCATTCTTGCAATAATTTTTGTATTGTGAACAGTGTATTTGCATTTTTTTCCGGATGCTCATCCTCTTGTGTTTAAAAACAAAAGTATTTTATCTGAGTCCTTTCAATCGTTCTTGTGTGATGTCAGGAGTAACAATGAATAGCAATAGAAAAAGCAAAGCTTTCGAATTGAATTCCAAAATCACACAAAATTCGATATAAGTTTTAATCCATTCCCACATGAAAACAGATGATTATTTGGAAATCAGAATTTTGAGAAACTTGTATGTGTAATCGACACAGAGTAGATTTGACTGTTAAGAATTGGCAAGAAAGGTTCCCGATTGTCCAGCTTTACATGAACAAATTATGTCAATTTTAAAAGATTTTTCCATAAAGTTTAAAATGCCAGTAATTTTTGCGGGACAATGTGTGCATTTATGTGCATTTGATATTTTATTTATGATTAAATGAAATAAAGTTAAAATTGTATTAATAAATCTAATTTTTTTATTTTGATCTTTAAAGTCACACCTCATCCTATATGTGAGATTGTGTTATGTGTTAGTAAATACGGTATTTTTCTTTCTGAAACTTATTTGTTAAAACTTTGACTAAAACATTAAATGGCAGCTTGTTTACAGAGGTTGGTTTTTAATATTTAAAATGTCTTACCTCTAGTTTTCTTCAGAAATCTTTTGCAATAATAAATATTTGATTAGTAATTTTGAAACCGTGTTGTTATTTGTTCTGTTTTTCAACACTATGTAGTGCCAACCACTCAAACCACTTGGCATTTTCATGCCAAGTGATTGGGTGGTTGCACTACATAGTGATGAAAAACAAAATAAATATTTGAATTCAAATTCTAAGTTATCACATATTCATTAATTTTAGCTTTAGATTTATTCAGAGATTTATTTATTTTTAAAATATTTTAAAAACTACATTCAATGTTGATCATTCAAAGTCATTAGAATATCAATATTTGTTAAATGTATTTGTAAATTTTAAAAATTAATTGATTGCTTTATTCTTTTTTGAATTATTGCTGATAATAGTTAATTTTAATAAATTAGATAAACTACATTTAATACTAATAGATGAAATCCATTATTGGCATAAATAATTTAAATGTTTATTATTATAAAGCATAAATTTAAAACTGATCTTTCAAGCTAAACTTTAGATTTATCAAAATGCTTAAAAAGCTAAATTAAGCCTCTGTACTTATATTTTTTTAAAATTAATGTGTTTATAAAAATTATCCACATGTTGTTTGATGCTGTTATAGCAACAAAGAACATACTAAATTCAAACTTTCATATTTTTATTTATCTTAGTAATTCAAAATGTATCACATCCTTTAAAATAATTGCAGTTTTGTCAGTTTTCAAAATGAATCTGTAATAGCTACATATGATGGATATTTTGAAACAAATATTCATTTTAAATTTCTCTTATAAAAAGTATTGAATTTATATAAGATGTTATAAAATATTGTTGTACATTTTATGTAAATCTTTCGTTTGTGGAAAATGAACGTTACTTTTGTACCTGTATTTCAGTTTTTACTTTAAATATGTATTAAAAATTTAATGAGTTCAACATGCTTAGTCCCTAAAAAACTGAAAAATCCAGTCCCGTTGGACCCTCCTTGCCTATGCTCATAAATTCCTGGTATATATTTTTTGAAAATTTAAAGATAATTTCTTTCAAAAAATGGCTGACAAATTACGTAGAAAAGACTAAAATATCTTGATTTTTGCCATGTGATTTTAATGTATAAATTTATCAGTCACTTTTTGAAAGAAATTATGTATTTTTTTAATTGGTTTTAATTTTCACCTGTGAACTTTTTAAGCTGTTTTGCACATTTTTGCAGAGGCGTTGTTTGTAATAGAAGGTCGTCTCTGCAATGGAAGACTGTGATTCGACATGACGAAAATCAAAACATTTTAGTCTTTTCTACGTAATTTTTAAAGATAATTGTTCAACTAATTTTTCGTTCTCCCAGTCGTCGTCCACCAAATTGCTGGGATTCCATCTGGAATGTATGCTATTCCTAAAACTATTTCCTTATTTGTAAGATCTGGAATAGGCTACTATAAAGCAACAATAACTAAGCATCATTAAATTTACTCATGATTAAATGTATATGATGATAGAATTAGTTATAATTAAATTATCATAACTATCCTTAGAAACGGTTATTAAAAATCAGCTTCCATCATTAATCTGAAAAATGGCACCATTAAAGTTACGTGCATATGTTTAATCGTAGATGATTATTCTGTTATAACATAATTTAATAAGTTGGATTACATATCGTTTAAATGTAGTTCCTTTTGATATAATCTCAGTTTATTTCTAATAAATCTAACAGTCACAGAAAAAAAGGCCGAAACAGGTAGAAACTAATTAGAAACTTGTCCAAATTTCTAAATATTAATCATGGCTATTATACTTAAATTCAGTTTCAAATGTATGTAATATAAATATTTTTCAACAGATCATCTCATTTTAACTTAAACAAAATATATATTACATATTAATACTAGTGCTAGCAAAAACCGGAAATTTTTAAAATTGATTAACTGGTTTTAAAAGTTGAGTTCGGTCGAATTAATGTTTTATTATTGCAGTTTATTAATATTAATGTAGTTGAAAATTTGTAAATACACTTTTATTTGTATACAAAAAAATAATAATAATATATTGAATTAATATATTTTTGTATGCTACTTTCTGTACACTCGTTCATTTTTTAACATCCAAATATAAGTTAAGCATTATGTTAACAGCTAGAGCAATTTTAATTAATACATTGTAAAGAGTTATCAACTTTAAAATACGTGGCTTTTTATAATATGAGATTTCTATACTGTTTGAAAAAAAATACAGCATATAAATAAATAACTGATTTCAAACTGAACAATAACAATGCCTGTTCAAAATTTGTTTTGTTACCAGCATTAATTTATATAACAATCCATCATAACCCAGCTCCCACTTCAAACTAAGTACAAACAACACCTTAACACAGGCAGTTAAATCACTTTAATAAACGTTTTTCGGCTCTGTTGATGAGCCCTCGTCGGGTAAATATTGTTCGAATTCGGAACAACTTAACATCGAATATTTCTTCAAAAATGTTTAAATTGGAAGTGACATCCAGAACAAGAAAAAGAATAAAAGTATAGTTAATGTTTAAAAAATTCGTCACTTTTTGAAAGAAATTATGTATTTTTTTAATTGGTTAGTCACCTGTGAACTTTTTAAGTTGAAAATCTCAATTACAGGTACTCTTCACTTTACGACCTATCTGCTTAACGACCACTCGTACTTACGACCAATCGAGTTTCGACCTGCAATTCTGGAAATCCCCTTTCTCAGCTTGAGTGTCGATCAGTGGCGATTGGTGACATGCTCACTGAACGTAATATAAGCTTGCTCTGGAATTTTTTAGTCAGTTTGAGGTAATTTAAACAATCGCGGGCCTTGCCAATGCGCTTAATGTTGAAGTGGAAGACATTTCTGAATTAGTGGATTATGCCGATGGAGAACTAACAAATGAAAATTTAATAGAGTTAGAAGCGATGCAGTATTTGGAAGAGGAAGAAGACGAAAGAACTGGAGAAGTGAAAAATAAATTCACGGTATATGGGTTAGCTGGTGTGCTCTCCAAAATTAATGCGGCTATGTTGGAACTTGAGGCTATGGATCCTAATACTGAACGTTATAAAATAAAGTTGAACGTGGGATGAGTGAACTTTGAAGTGAACTTTGAAGTGCTATAGAGAAATTTATCAAGAAAAAAAGAAGATTACAACGCAAACCACAGTTACGAGTTTCTTTTCGACTGTTACATCCAAAAGGACTTGGGACAAGTAAAAACATCTTGTAGTATGGGCATTAATATTTGGCAGTTATCAATCTTAAATATTACCTAGTTAAATTATTGTATTAATTCATTTATGGAAAAATTTTTGTTAGTATAGTACAGTAATACCTCGACTTACGCTACCCCGACTTACGCGATTTTCAAATCTCGTCGATTCGTCTTTTGTTTGAGCACCATGCAACCCTTGATTACTCACTCCCCCCACACTATTGTTCAGCTTACATGTTCGGATGTGTCGCGCGGAATCTACACATAGCTACAATTTATTTTGTGTTATTTATTTCTGTGTTTGTTATATCTACGGAGACTCGAGAGACTCTACTATGTCATCCAAACGAAGTAGAATTAATTCTTCTGCATCAAACAAGAAAAGAAAAACTTTATCTTTGGAATGTAAAGTTAACATTGGGTATGTTCNTCGGTATGCGTGAGTAGGTGTGGGGGAGTGGAGTACGCAAGCCTTTTTGGCCAGCAGGTCCACTGTTTCGTTCCCTCCATAACCTTTGTGAGCCGGAATCCAGTTGAAGTGGATGATTCTATGCATAGCAAGAGAGTTTGCGGTGTTTATTAGTTCTCTTCCTAGTCGTGTGGCTCTCCTTTTGTTCTCAAGTGTGTGCAGCACTGCCCTGCTGTCAGTGTAAATATTTATTATCCCTTTGTAATAATTGATGTTAGTGGCTTTGTGAGTTAGGGCCTTGTGCATTGCCCAAAGTTCAGCCTGCATGACACTGCAGTAAGGTGCCATCTTGAGGTGTGCTTGGAAAGTCTTCCGGCCATTTCGTGCAAATATGGCCACTCCCGAACGTTGTTAGATAGATGAAAGTCAAGACCAGAATATGGGCTTGAATTTCTTTGAAAGCTTATGGGCAGAAAGCTCCGATTAACTATATAGACACTTCCGGGCTAGGACGGAAGTCACGTGAATTCAATTCAAAATTTTTCCCTGAACGGAATTGCATTGATAAGCGGCACGACTTTGTTGTTATCAGGAAAAGTATGATGTACAGGGAAAAACACTACAAATTTGATATGGAGAACATACATTTTAAACTGAATAAATTAAGAATATGATTAAAAATTGCAGACCGGCATTGTGACGATGTCATAATAAATAATTGCTCGTAAATTTTCTATTCGAATTCGTACAATTTAAAGATTATGAGAAAGCTACAAGGAAGGTTAAGAAACAAAAAAATTTATCGAAAATATACGGTTATGGATAAGTTTACGTAAGCGGAAAGTTATAAGGAAAAAAAAGTCGAAAATTGTAAGGAAATAGAAGTTATGAACTTGATTCTACATCAATTTTCACATATTCGAATTATGTTTTACGTACGCAAAAGTTATAAAACAAAATTTTTTAAGTGATTCCCGAAATTAACGAAAAACAAAGTAACACATATTCTTAATTGATTTTTTAAATATTAAATTAAATAAATATATTTTCATAAACTTATCAATCTAAAATGATTTTTAATATATCAATTCTAAATTCTATTTATTCTATAAATCACATTTCAAAACCTGTCCGTGTATCTTAACATTGTAATGCATAGATGTAGATTAAGACCTTAATGTACTACACTTGTATTAGTTTCCGTGCTGTCATTTATAGAGTTTTACTTAAATAAAAAAATTATATTTTATTTTTCTGAATTTATATTATGTTCTGAAAAGCAGAATTATATTTTCTATAATTAAAAAATACACATTCTACACACGCATCTTATTACATATGATACTTTCAGCTACAGTAAACTTAGATCTATAAGATCTTTAAAATTGGTCATTAATTCCTGGAATAAAAAAATAAAAATTTTCAATAATGAATAATGCAATATTAAATGAAATATTTTGTTTATAACTTACTTTTAAAAATATTTTCATAGAGTGAATCTTCTTTAATTTATGATACAGTCTATTCACTGAAAATTCTCTTCTTCTAAAATGCAATATATTTCCATATAAAATTCTAATAAAATAGAATATGCTTAGATCTATTTATTATAAGCACTAAAATTCAACACTAAAAATTATATTTCAGAGTAAATATATTTTTTATTATTAAAATTGATGAAATTTTTTATCTTCTGTATCCATTTTTACAGTATATTTTGTTCCCTTTCAAATGTTATCTACTGCCGTAAAAGATGTTCAAACTTTTATGTCATATTTTCAATGTTATTATTCAGTAAAAAGAAAGTATAAATTATGAAATTAATATTTTTGAGAAATTTGTTTGTAAAACTTAAGCATTGAAAGATTTAGTTTTAGAAACAATATTTAATATTACGTATTCGTAAAATGTTTTAGGCTTTTTTAATTTCAATTTTTTTAACATGTAAACATTTGTTGTTGAAATTTTTACATTTCATTTCAAAATTGTAAGTAAATTTATTTTTAAAATAATGTTAACATGTAGGTAAAAATTATGGTTTACAGTCGACCCCCCTATAACGCGATAGATACGTTCCACTTTATAAGAATTTTGCATTGTAGTAATCCTTAAATACATGAGCCAATCACAGCTCGGCACGTGTGCAGTTTACGGACTACGGCTGTTTGGAAGGTTTTCTTCCATAAAATTAATCGATTCTAGACTAATTTGACTCAACATTTCCAAANGATACGTTCCACTTTATAAGAATTTTGCATTGTAGTAATCCTTAAATACATGAGCCAATCACAGCTCGGCACGTGTGCAGTTTACGGACTACGGCTGTTTGGAAGGTTTTCTTCCATAAAATTAATCGATTCTAGACTAATTTGACTCAACATTTCCAAAGCATGTATAACTTTTTGGAAATAATCCGTATAAACTATGCTATAAACAAAAAATTGTAGGATTACTTACCGAGTGTGCACCGTTTGACGTTGCCATTGCTTAAGCTTATTTTCGTTGCGGAGCAGCACACCAAATGGTGGGCGCGTTTTCTAATAAGTTATTTTTCTGCGAAAAATTTGTTGAACTTTGGAGACATCATTAATAGAAATAATTTTTATGGCTGTTGAATAAGAAATGTTTTTTCACAAGAAATGTATAAAATTACAGTATTGTACTAGACTTACAGTACCTAATTTAGGCCTATATACTATGTACAGACGATAGTAAACTCAACTTACCCGCCTAAACTCTCCATAGTGTGTAAGTACTTCGGCTGCTCGTCCACTATTGATCCAGATTCGACCAATCCTGTCATGACACGAGTTGGCGATGACGTTTTACCGCATTTTAAAAGTCTCTTTTAGCATCTTTATACGAATACAGTTGCAATTTTTTCATCAAAATATATGAATTCGCATTATATGAACCTGCGTTATAGGGGGGTCGACTGTATTTTCATTTCTTTTTTATTTTAGTTTTAATCTAATATCAATGAATAAGTATTAGTAAATAACTAGAAATCATAATGCTTTCTATTGTAAACAATAGCTAGATACAGTGGAACCTCGCTTAACGAGCACCTCGCATAACGAGCAAAACAAATTGTAAAAAATTGACTCGCTTAACGAACAACGTTTCACATAATGAGTAACAGGAAGAGGGGTAGTCTGGATTGTGCTCATACTCCATCAGTCTGTGTTTAGCACTTGTTTTGCTAGCATCTTAGTATCGCTTGTGATCAAACATTTTTCCAAACTTGTTTATATATAATGTATAAACATCAACAACCATCGCCTGTTATATAAAAACATGCCAAACAATATGCTAAAATCTTGGGCTATGTAAAGGTCTTTATTAAATATTAGAA